AATTGTAAGCTTACCTTTTCCCGTCCATGGGCAATTTGATAGTTAAAAATTAACCCTTTAAACTGGAAGAGGACTTTTATGTAAATTGTGAGTGTTTCCATTAGTTAATAATCTATTAGTCGACTCTTTTAAAATCATCGGAAATTATGGCTGTTATTAGTTTTTAAACAAGTTATTTATTTATAAATAACTCCAGTACGTCTTTGCAATTGCTCGATTTCGAGCAACATGTACACTAGTAATATGTAATGTACAGACTTCTCTTTTTTACTCCAAACATGTGATTAGAATTTCTTCCATTTGTTTTGAATATTATTATTTCGTCACCAGCATGGCAACCAGTAAGCCACAGGTAAAAAAAATTGAACTTATTTGATGTGCTTATTTTTGAGCCTATTTAAATTTATAAGGTATTCTGCACATCTACAGGCAAATGTCTTTCTGACAGTATGCGTGGATTTTCCCTCCGATGCACACAAACTGAGAAAAAATGTTATTAAGAAACATGCTTTCCTATATATAGATGATTATATCTTCAAATGGCAGACAGTAGTAGATAGAAGACATAGAGTACTTCTAACACAATTATGTTATGTCAACTACGTTTCCTGAGTTTAGTTGAAATTTTTTAAACTTTTTCTTGGACGACAATTTATGTCACAACAATGCATTGCACTTAAGAATCGGGGAATGAGAATACAAAAAAATGTGGATTTAAAAAGTGACACACTGAAGCTCGTATGTAGAAAAATTACTAACTATATAATAAAGGCACTATATTTTATCTTAAAAAAAATCATATTAACCTCGAACCTCCATAGGAAAACATTTAAGACGTACAAATTAAGCAAGTTTTACAATAAACTTGTGGAGTACTAACTGTATTACGACTATTGGTCGAAGTGTACATCTTAGCGCCTCCAAACTAAGTGACACCACTTAGTTGCTTCATTGGCCTGCAAGTAGCTTTGCTGAAGCTTGCAGGCAGTGAGACAGGCATGTGACATACATACACTTACTACGAAACTACTGGAGCCAATGTTCTGTCCCTGTTGATATAAATCATTCATTCTAATTATTGCAAATTCAGTTGTGTTTGAAAACATTTTTTCCTAAATAAAAACAACACAGTAGATTGTACTTGCAAATTAGAATGATCTTATAACTCACTCTATATGGTTCGGTTCTCATGGAGGATATCAACTGTTAATTTGCATACATTGACACATGCGTGCAATTTGTTTTATATCATAGTCCTCACACATTAAATCACATTGTTGAATAGGCCCCAGCCACAGAAAACCTTGGTAATTCAGTCTAATAATATATACTAGTGGTCGTCCAGTGGTCAAAAACTCGACCAAAAATATGTAATGTACCCGCATTGAATATTGGATACTGAAGTAAATATTCCATCTATATGGACCAGTTGTTGCAATTTTTTTTTTTTTTTATTAAAAACATGTAGTTGTGTGAACCAGTCACAGTATGCGTGTCTAAAATTATATTTTCTATCTTATTTTTTGTTACTGACAAAGTTGATGGGTCATAACAGTTGCCCATAATCAGTTGCTCATAATAAGTCATTTCATAACTTTGACTTTGTCATTTAGATCAGCGCAATCTATTGGTGGCTCACATCAACTACGGCGAATTTAATAAAAAAACTGGCGACATTTTTAACATGGGGATGGAATGTCGCAGTTGTAAGTCAAATGGAGAGTCTTCTCTATTTTCACCCCAAGCTGTAAATAAAACATGTGATTGGAATTCCTTCCATTTGTTTTGATTTTCTGTTTATATTTCGTTGTTATTTCGTCACCAGCATGGCAACCCATAAAGCCCATGTTATTTTTTTAAATTTAAAATTAATTTTTTTAGCTTATATTTAAGCCTATTTGAGTTTTTAAAGGGATTCTGCACATCTACAGGAAAATATCTTTCTATCAGTATGCCTAAAGTTTCCCTGCCATGCACACGAGCTGAAAAAAAGGTTTGAAAGAAACATGCTTGCCTATTAATATACAGAGTAACAAAAAAGTCTGGAAACGGCTTGATATCTGTTTAACTAAATTCGTAAGAAAATTTAAACCTTTCACATCAACTTATATTTATGAACACTACTTTTTGCAAGCATTAATATTTTTTTACCTTCACCAGGGGACGGCCCATGAGGATTAGTTACATAATCTTTAACGTAAGCATGTTGATGTGCAAATCATTTTAAAGGTCTGGTCACTTGACCAGTTGGTATCCGTGTAACATTTCGGTCGAAAAGTCGTAAGCCTACCTAAGTTGCTATAAAAAACATCAACAACTTGTAAATTCAAATACTATAGGAAAAATAGTCTCTTGGAAGAAATCATCCTAGATAAAATTGACAAACAAGCTAGTTAAGTTATATTGCTAACATTTAAAAGGTTAACTTCTACTTTAAACTACGTCTTTGTATTTGTTTACAAAACAAAACGAGCGTTTACTTCATACTAACAAAGATATAACTAGTTATTCTTCCAGAAAGTTTATCATTCACAAAATCAATTTAACATAAAAAAACTGCCTTTATACGGGTTTTGTCCGTAAAAAATATATACATTTTAAATATTGTTTTGTCATAATAATTCATCTTTTAAATTCCATTTTGTAGCCCCTGAACTGTGTAGTATAGACTAAACTATTACGTACCTCGTATTGCAGTTCAAATCTATGGGGTAGAAACAGGCTAAGCAAGTCAGGTTTGTCCCATTTTACAACTAAAAATCGTAATATTTCAGCTATTTCTTATTCGATATTTTTAAGCTTGATATCGTTTGATAGGGAATTAAAAATGCCAAATAAAGTATTCTTGTCATTTTTTTCATAAAATCAGCCATTTGTTAGTAATTTAAGTTTAAAAAATTAAAATGGCCTCCATTTTGAAATTTAAGACGAATCAAGATGATTTTTTTCTAATATTGGTCTCTATTACCTTAATATACATACCAAGTTGCATAATGATCGGTTTAAAGAATACAAATGTTTATGTGAAAAAAAAACAAAATGGCGAATATCTGGTTAACGAAGCGATTTTGGAAAACATGTTATTCTTTTGACCCATAGAACCCTTTCCCGGAGTTTGCCTGTTTACTTACGGGACACTCTGTATATAATATTTAAATGTGTGTCTGTTAGCACGATAACTCGAGCAAAAATGATCCGATTTTGATGAAATTTGGTATAAACGTGTTAACTTACATTTATTCCAACGAGTTCACGAACTAGCATGATCGTACCATGGGGACGAGGGTTTATGGGTAAAAATGGGTTTGTCTATTTTTGACCCTAAACTAATAATATTTTGAAATTTCTTTCTAAATTATTTTGTAGAGCGTAAACAAAGAAATAATTTAGTATATTGACGCACTGTTGTATGTCTAACGGTTACAAAGGAAAATTACAAAAAGTGTAAATTTAAAATTTTTATGTTATATTTATTATGGAGAAAATTAAAAAAAGTTTGAATTTAAAATTCTCATGTTATCTTATGGAGACAATGAAAACTGTTGTAGTTGACCTGTTTATGGATATATGTTGATAACATTTGGCAAATTTATTTATATCACCCTATGCTATTATGTTTGGTCAAAAACCACTTTTTACCTTCCCCGTAGCGGCAAACCTAACCACTCTTTAAATCTAATGCTATTTAAATTCGGAATAAATATGTCTAATTTATGGAAATAGTTTTATAAAAATGTAATCCGGCAAGTTGAAATTCACTTAGTCTGCAGGTTTGCTGTGGTGGGGGTATTTGTAATTTTTTAAGTCTTCTTTTGTGATTCTATTCTCAACAAAAAGGCACATTTGATAACAATTAAGAATAGTCATTGTTCTAGAACTTATAGAAAACAATCAAAATACATCACCTATTATTTTTTAAGTGATCAAGTGGAATTCGTGATAATCGTTTAAGGAAATTATTAATCAGGCCATATAAAATATAGACAGTTGGCACGTCACAATGAAAATAAGAGTGTGAAGATTTGCCGAAAATTGTTGGTATGAACGAATTACCTTAGGGCTTTGCCCCACAGGCCGATTTCTACAGGGCTACGCCTTCCATGCTTTTTAAGTTTACATTATTAATGAGTTTCATTATTAGTTAATTAATTAAATGAACTACATCTGGTCGATACAATTGACAGCTGTTTGTTTGTTTACTTGAAAGGGTTATATTGATTTGTGCTTTATTTACGTTGTGAAAATGTGTGAGTGATTCAGTATAAGGTGTGCGGAGGTTGGGTGTTGAATGTAAGTACAAGGTATGTATACACTTAAAAACTCATCTTACAATAAAATGAAATCATTAAGTCGTCATCACCTAGCTTAATCATCATCGACACGAATCACTTCAAAGGGGATTTAGATCTTAAAATGAAGTTAGAAGTCTACTTCTACTATTCAAAAGTCAATTATAAAGTTTTAAACCAAAATATCAAATATGCACATTATATACAGCTGGAGTGACTTGGGTGGTGGTGGGGGTCAGTTGAGGACTACCCTAACAGTTCAGATATGTATTGTCCGTGTCACCGCCTACAGGACTGGACACACAACTTCAGGTCAGTTCTTTACTGTCCTACTACAATATACCTACTCATCACTACAGTAACTGTTTATACAGCTGGAGTGACTTGGGTGGTGGTGGGGGTCAGTTGAGGACTACCCTAACAGTTCAGATCTGTATTGTCAGTGTCACCGCCTACAGGACTGGACACACGACTTCAGGTCAGTTCTTTACTGTCCTACTACAATATACCTACTCATCACTACAGTAACTGTATATACAGCTGGAGTGACTTGGGTGGTGGTGGGGGTCAGTTGAGGACTACCCTAACAGTTCAGATCTGTATTGTCAGTGTCACCGCCTACAGGACTGGACACACGACTTCAGGTCAGTTCTTTACTGTCCTACTACAATATATACCTACTCATCACTACAGTAACTGTATGTACAGCTGGAGTGACTTGGGTGGTGGTGGGGGTCAGTTGAGGACTACCCTAACAGTTCAGATCTGTATTGTCAGTGTCACCGCCTACAGGACTGGACACACAACTTCAGGTCAGTTCTTTACTGTCCTACTACAATATACCTACTCATCACTACAGTAACTGTATATACAGCTGGAGTGACTTGGGTGGTGGTGGGGGTCAGTTGAGGACTACCCTAACAGTTCAGATCTGTATTGTCAGTGTCACCGCCTACAGGACTGGACACACGACTTCAGGTCTGTTTACTGTAACATTTTATGTGAAAATTACTATGGTTAAATTATTAATTTGTTTAAGTTATTAAGTCACATAAGTGAAAAATGTTATTAACCAAGTTATAATTTTTAGAAACAAAACTAGGAAAGACTAAGCTATTTTTTTAACAATTAATTTACAATACAGGTTTAAATTCGGGGATAATGGTTTAAACCATAAACAAGGGTTTTATGCCAATTAAACATAACTGGAACTTTTCTGATAGAATATTCTCTTACAAATTAAACATGTTTTTCTTACTCAAATGCCGCACCATATCTATGTTTATTTAACAATACTTTTTTTAAATTTTAACTCTTAAGGCTTATAAATAGATCGCATTAAAAACTTAAAGAATCATTTCATTCTTTTGAATGTTTCACCTTTTATAAAACATATAAGTATATTTTTTATCGATAATTCAATGTACGTACAGCATTTTCTAGTATTGTAATTATACTATGCAAACCACAAAAAATTTAAAATGATAAAATAGCCAGTTTACCATTGGACCTTTTCATGATAACTAAATCGAACAAAATTCACATTCTGACGATTTCTGACGATTGAGTTCTCAAAATACGCCCTTTATAGTATTAAAAAAAAAGTAAAAAAGGCACCTTTGTATGTGCCATTATGGCACATATATATTATGTTCACTTACTATATTTTAAACGGCAGTTTAGTAAAACAATTCCTTTCTGGTTTCTGATTAACGTTTCAATTCTTTGATATAACTTACCTATTTTTGTATCGGGTTGAACTTTATATTCTCCTTCGATGGATGAATATTTGATTAAAATCCATAAAAATTGAAGACGGTTAGTATTACTAAATATTTATCCGACTGTTTTAACCGAATGTGTGACAGTGTAAAACATAAATTCTTAAATAAGTGTAAAACACTTGTTTATACATTTTAAATTTTTGTAAAAAAGTGTAAAAGTTGTAGTTATCATTTTCGTCACCAAGCTGAACTAATAAATAGTATGTTTATCATTTACAGTAGCGATGTAAAAACAAACTGTAGAGCTATATTCAATGCCATAATTAATGTAGTTTAAACTATCTATAATTAAAAGTTGTCTTATAAACATTAGTGTTAAAACACTAAATTGTGTTATGTGCGATTGATTTCATGCAGGGAATTTTGAAAGTTGCAATTGAAATACAAAATCTTACTTTTGGCTTCCTGTTGGTCACTCAACATTTAAACTAACCGGTGTGTTCAAAATATCAGGGACTGTTTAAATTTACGTAAAAAAGCGGTTATTGTACCCCGCTCTTACGTCATCAGTCAAATTTAAATGTTTTATTTATATGACTTTCTCAGGTTTAAGCAATTGATTGTTTTTATTATTTGTATTACTTGATAATAATCATAGTTTGAAATAATTTCGTAGTTTTGCAGAAGCTACTTTTAAGCTTATCTAGACAGCTATTTATTTTTGTTTTTGTTTTGTGTTTTTTACTGATTTGTTTTTTAGTTAATAATTGTTGTTTTAAGATACATAAGTTGCCAATAATTATTTTAAATTTATATATTGCATTGCTTACTAACTTTCTATCAAGAGATTGAGTTAGTACGGGTTGAAAAGTTATGAGTAACTTTCTGTAGTTTTATTTAAACACGTCATCTATGGAAACAAGAGAACATTGTCAACTACCCCTTTAACTGAGTAAAATCATAATGAAATTGTATTATTGCTAACATATGATCATAGAGACATAAGGCTGTTTGCGAAAAGTTAACCTTTTAGCATTGACTATTATTAATAGTCAAAGCTTTTAGTTTAGCACATTAATATTGGGGTATACGCATTAACACGGGTTTTCTCAGCAGCCCCAGCATGTTAAGACTATACTTCCCTGTGCAGCACAAACACAGTTTATAAACTGATTGACTCAACTAACACAAATGTGCATGGATGTAGAGTAGAATGTCTACTTTACGGTAGGCTAGTGTGTTCATGAGGATAGGTGACACCTCGCAGCATTATATTCATCATTCATGCAATATAAGTGTACAATGTTAGACACACTGTTACAGCACACCCACATGAGCTTCATCTACTGCATAGTAAAAGTGGATCCGCTACGCTGCCAAGTATTTAAGTATTCGATTAGTTTGATCCATTATATACCAATCTAATTAGACCGACCGCTATGTGCACAAAGACATTCGACGAACTTCTAATTAGATTAAATTACCTACGCTTCTCTATTCTCTGACCTACCTTTAGATGGGCGAATCCTTGTGTATGGCGGTGGTATGCACTCACTCCCACATTCTACATAATGCGATTGATTAATTAAACTCCCTCAGTCAGTAGTTCATGAAACGTAACCTTGTCTCGATAGGTTGATCACAGGAACCACAAAGGTTTACAGTCAATGGCTGCGTCATCACAATAATATTAGTAGTACATACATAAAAAATCCCCTCATTGGGTATCCAATAAGTTACCTACTTATATTGTTTCACAACTAAAACATATCTAATGCGGTCTAAGATTGTGTGTGTGTGTGGGGTGGGGGCGTCTAGTGGTTTTATAACTAATTTAAATGTTTTTCAATGCAACCCAAATATAAAATCCTCTCAAATTAGATTTTCTGGATAAGCCTTTAATTTCAACTAATTTATTATGCCTGGTAAAACTGCAGGAGAATTAAAACAAATCAGAAAACGGTTCTATTGTTATAATTTAAAAACCCGAGTTTAGGCATACACCAAGCCCCCAAGTCATAGCCTACCTGAGAATTACAACAGAACATTTATATTTCTGATATATTCGTGATTTTCCGCAAAGTCGTACGGTAAACAACCTAAATTAATGAAAGACTGTATTATTTTGCAATACTAGAAGTATAATAATTTACTCAATGGAGTTTTGAATTCTACTACTGTGTAATAAACACTCTTTCAGTAATTGGCTTAAATTTAATGAAAAATAAAACACACAGTCTTGTGGAGTATTTAAGATGTTTTCATAATCCTAACTTAGGTATTTAAAAACGATTTAACTAAAATAAAACTAGCAAATTAGCTTTACCGATATTGTGGCCAAATAATGAAGCAAAAGTTGTTAAATCTATAGTAAAATAAAAGAAAAACACTTTTCTATATCAGTGCAGCTGGTGTGAAATTGTATGAAACACAATTTTAAACAGGCTTCAGATGTAACAATGGGATGAGAAGTGTACTTGCCGTATACAAAGTAATTACTGTGATCAGTTGAATTATTCGTGAAAGAAGTTCATTTTTAGTGAAGATTACGCTAAATCAAAGAATGATTCTGTGGCTACTACTTATCAGTTTTTTTAACAGCTGAGTCAGTATTCATTGTCGTAAGTGTCAATCCAGGCCAGAGTCAAGGCAGACTTACGTAACATCAACATCGGATGATCCTGCCGGACAGGTTGACCAACCTTCTGTCAAAAAACGACAACATGCAAAAAATAAACCGTACCTTACTTGACTTCGAACAGTTATCTAGCTAGCTTGGTGTTGAGTATGGATAAAAAAAACATTGTATAAAAATTTACACAAGAGGGTGACATGGGGCCTTTTGTCGATCCCTTTTCCCGAGAAAATTGTATCGAGTGTAAATAAATAGTCAAATTATATACTATATTTTATAGTTTGATTTTAGTTCAGTTAATTTTAAATGTCTTGTGATAAGTTTATAGGACGTATAAACGGCGTTTTATATTTCGGGTTGGTAAGAACACTGTCTAGCTATTAAAATAGAAACCCGAATACCGTTGGAGTAATGTTTACTACAGTTTTCCGTCAGAAAATATTTTGACGCTTTCCGTGTGGAATAAACAGCTTTAAGTGAGCATCGTAAGTACGATCGGGTTTTATCAACAGGCACAGATTTATAAAGAGTATAATTAAATCGGTGAGTATTAGACAACATTATTTCTATGCTGTACTTGAAAGACAAAATAAACAATCGAGCCATCGGGATATTTATTTTAAGCGGTACCAGGGTAGGATTTTGTAACTTAATTAGTTGTAAAAAACAAACAAATCAAAGACTGGCAAACATTTAAAATAGTCATTAGTGTTGTGCCAAATGGTGTTTATAACATAATTATGTTGTAATCTAAGACATAAGTGTTTCATTTACGGATACAATAGTTCCCAGGCCTTGATCTTGTAATTCAGACATTTTGTTATCTCTGATCTACAATTTATGATCTCGCAAGCTTGTGACTACCAGCTTGCTTCTTGTAGTTTTATCTTAGATCAAATATTCTTGGGATTGCTCTACAAAATATTTTCCATCATTTCAATGTGGCAATTTCTTGTTTTTGTTGCGATTTCCTTATTTTAAACCTGAAATGTTACTACTTAAGTTCTAGAGAATGCTGCACGTGTGAGAAATGCTACATGTTAAGCCATATTTTATAACCAATGGTCAATGTTTTTGTCAATGTAAATAATATTCTATGGACTTTAGCAACACTTCTATCACTGCAAGGTTAATAACAAATTAAATAAATGGTACCTCTGCCTGTTTAATTGATTTCCATTCTTACAAATGGTTAAACTATATCATTTATGAGTAAATTTTAAAAATTCATGACATTTATTAATTGTTCTAGTATAGAACAGATTGTAAATAAAATACTTGTAAAAAAATCCTAAAGTAGATAAAGATTTAACCTAAAACAAAACCAGTGCGCTATATTAATTTATAATCAGCTGACTGGTTAAGTGTCACGTTCACAAAAATTAAATTACAATTCCATCTCGTACAACTAAATATTTTAGAAATATTACAAGTCAATTTTTGGTAATATTTTATTACAGTAAATGTACGTTTTCTTAGTTGATAAATACATCATGTAGTACAGAACCTGCATAAATTACAAAGCAGCAATGCATATTTTATGGACGAACCACAAGTCACTCACTTGTTTGTTTTTTTCTTTTTTCTTGAAAGTTGAATTCTTTGATTTTTATCGTTCC